CACAGTGATAGTTTTTCAACAAAGCTCAGAAAGGCATTTTGACAAGCTTGCTCATATAGTAGCCCCAGGAAAGACTTGTTTGACTGAAAAAGCTTCGAATGTTCAGTGATTAAGTGGTCAGCGTTTTCTGGGACTTTAATTAAAAACGTTATATGAAAAATTTTACGGACATTCGTGGAATCAATTTCAAATGTCATTTAAAAAACTTACTGTAAATTAAAAGTTAAAACGTCTCGTGTTTCTTGCAAATATTTTTAACTCATGTCAAGTTTTTTCTCATTCAATGCGTTACAAAGCTCGAAACGCATAACAGTAAACACAGACCAGCCACTGTAATTACAATTACAAGATTTAAAAAAAAACGAAAACAACCACAACAAAAGAGTACCAAAAGAATTAAGATTAAATCTGTAAATCATATCAATTGTTGTTTTTTTTGGTTGTCTGTCAAATTCGTGTCTTCTAAATTATAAATGGTAATTGTCAGTGAAACGCATATTTTACTAAGCATGCATTTCGGTTTTTTGTTGTTCGTTCTGGCTTAGCAGAAGGCTAAAAAAGCAAATTCCCGAAAAAATGCGTAACAGATATTTAAAAATAGTTGAAATACTTCTACTCTACATTACAAAGACGTTTTTAATGTTGATAAAAGCAAGACTAATAATATTTATAATCTCGGTTTATTTTATCTCTGTCATATTCGGCATTCTAAATATAGCAGTTCTGAAATCTAAATACGTCGCTGTTTTTTTTTGCTTTATATGACTAGCGCTTAGCTTAGTTTTCGGTCTGGTCTGATGGGTAGCTTAAGAATATGTGTGGATCAGTTCAGCAAGCTTCTCCAGGTTTTAAGTGAAAGATAGCTAAATGGGAAGTTGGGTGTATTTAGAACCAAGTGAACGGGGATGTAGATTGGTCTGCCAGTAGAAATCAGTACTGTTCCAGTATTGCAACAGTATAAAAACAGTACTGGACAAGTATCACGGTAGCACTGATCAGTGATACAATCAGGACAAAAAATGGCAGTACTGTCGCATTACTGAATCAGTACTGTTTTTGAAATTATTTGTTCTGGCCAAACCAACAATAAGAACTCAATCAACCGAATCCAATTTGCTATAAGATTTTTAGTGAACTAAATATTTGACAATTTTGAGCTGATTTCTAGCTGTGTAACAGGAAAGATTTTGTACCCGAAATTACCCTGTTTCCGAAAATTGAGTTGCTCAATCCATTTAAAAGCCAACGCTAACCCATTTTTTTTCGCGGGAAATAACTGCGTCGTTACGTGTGTTTTTTAGCCTTTTCTGTAGTGTAAAGCCATTTTCATTACAGTAGCGGGCAGCTAGTTTTTTTGTACGAACCTTCTTTTTTTCGAATCTAACTCGCAATTAAAAGTCTTCATTGAAAGTGGAAAGTGTTCACTTTTTTGGTGGCTCTTTCGCTATAATCACGATCTAGCATTGGAAATTTCATTTCATCTGTTCTCTGCTTTTTTGTGTCTAGTGTTTGCGATGGATTAAGCGTGCGTGGCTGAGTGGCTAGTTTGTGAGGCTCAAAATCTCTAGGTCGCAGATCGAATCCGAGACGTAGACGAATTTTTTCTAATTCGAGGCTTATTTCTACTTTTTCTTATTGCATTTTATAGAGCTGCTTTTTGTCGTGTTCTCGCTAGTGTTTACTTAGTGAAGATTGACCTCCGTGGATTGTTTTTGACGGTAACGAGACGCAACAAAACTTTCAATTCAATTCGAATTTTTTAAAATTGCGGTAAGTTTTTCGCAAATACTACAAACAATGTTTTCAAGCTGAGTACTCATCCGAAAAAGCGTATAATATATAGTTTCACTTTTGTAACCACGACTCACCTTTGTAAGCACCGAAAAAAGGAGGTTGTTTCTAGTTTTCTTGCAGGACAAAAATAGAGAAAATGAAAGTTAGAACCGCAACAATACTGTTTTCTGGGTTCTCTATTTTGTCCTACAAAAGTACTGAAAAGATTATAAAACTTTTTTTTTCTGAAACAGTACTGATTATTACTGTTAGAGCAATCCGGGATATCGATAAAAGGGCAGATTATCAGCTAGCATTCAAACGTACAATATAATTCATATACATTCAAGTTACTACAGCGGAAAGAGTCTGTTCCCGATTAGCCACAAGTGATCAAACCATCACAATCATCAAAATTGTGAACGCTTGCTCCGCTGAGCTTACATTTGGCACAGATACGCTTGAATTAGTGTTGATGGCAATTAGGTTTTTGGCTGATCGATTTTCCGGCTGTTTGGTTCCTGACATAACAGTGTTTTATAAATGTCATGATTTTTGCTGAGAATCACGTAGAAGTTCCTGAATTTAACACCGTTTTGAAACAACGAGTTGATTTTTTTCTAATAGAACACGCCAGCATTTTTATGAAAGGCAAGTGCCAGCGTTTGAGTAGAATTCGTATAACTAATATAAAAATGCCTCAATTCAGTTTTGAACGAATCAGTGCGGATAATTTGCCGCGCATAAATGTTTCGCGCAGTGAATTTATCAAAGTATTATTGAGCAGCGATGCCATCCGCATTTTAGTCTAGCGCAAGAATGCTCGCTTAGCAATCCAAAGGTTTCCGGATCAATACCCATACGCTGTCAACTTTGTATAATCGGTCTGAAAAAAAACACTTTATTCATATATATTCCCTATATTCTGAATGAAAACAGAGCAAAAATTAGCAATTTCAGACAATTTCAAAAGTCATTCAAAGACAACCAGTTGATATGCAATTAGCATATAACGCTTCGACCAAAATGATTCAAGTGAAGAAAATCAAAATCAACGAAAAAAAAAGAAATGAAAAATTGAAAACAAATTTAAATTGAACTTTTTGATTATTTTTAATTCACTTTTTTAAGTTAAGGCCGTTTGAATCAGTTGAGAAACTGCAAGAATCTCAGGTCCTAAATTCTGATATATTTTTAAAGGCCCAGGAAATTAAATTGGTGTTCTGTTTCTCAATAAATTGTTTGTCTTTTGGATGGAAAATCGAATCTTAACTGAAAACACATTTGACGACTGTAAGCATTTTTGTGGCGGTCAAATTTAGGCGAAAATACCACCCTGAGCCATTGTTCCCTCCCACTTTTTTCGATTCTCCAACGCATTTATTGCACCTTTTGTAAGAAAAAGCTTTTCAAAATCTCGCTTGCACCAACAAAACTTTTATTAATTGAACACTGAAAATCAATTGGTTGAAATTTTTTTCGAATCAGTTTCGAAAAATTTTTTCAGAAAAAACCGTGCTCCATTCCGATCAATCGGCTCGTGCTTTTTTGTCGTTTTCAGTTGAAAGTCGTGGGTGTGGTGTTTGTAAATTGGTCATTTCCAATTGATCCGTCTACGCTCCGACGTTAGATCGCGTATCGAAAATTTGTAGCTATGTTTCTGTTGGCTATCTATTATCATGATTCTGTCTTGCTGTGTTGCCTTTCGGATCTTAGATAACTTTCAGGTTGTTTTATGGTGCCTGCCTTAGATTGCAGCGTTTTTTACCGAAGAAATGTTTAATTTAATTTAATTTGTAATTTTTCCATTAAACCATCACAATCATCAAAATTGTGAACGCTTGCTCCGCTGAGCTTACATTTGGCACAGATACGCTTGAATTAGTGTTGATGGCAATTAGGTTTTTGGCTGATCGATTTTCCGGCTGTTTGGTTCCTGACATAACAGTGTTTTATAAATGTCATGATTTTTGCTGAGAATCACGTAGAAGTTCCCGAATTTAACACCGTTTTGAAACAACGAGTTGATTTTTTTCTAATAGAACACGCCAGCATTTTTATGAAAGGCAAGTGCCAGCGTTTGAGTAGAATTCGTATAACTAATATAAAAATGCCTCAATTCAGTTTTGAACGAATCAGTGCGGATAATTTGCCGCGCATAAATGTTTCGCGCAGTGAATTTATAAAGTATTATTGAGCAGCGATGCCATCCGCATTTTAGTCTAGCGCAAGAATGCTCGCTTAGCAATCCAAAGGTTTCCGGATCAATACCCATACGCTGTCAACTTTGTATAATCGGTCTGAAAAAAAACACTTTATTCATATATATTCCCTATATTCTGAATGAAAACAGAGCAAAAATTAGCAATTTCAGACAATTTCAAAAGTCATTCAAAGACAACCAGTTGATATGCAATTAGCATATAACGCTTCGACCAAAATGATTCAAGTGAAGAAAATCAAAATCAACGAAAAAAAAAGAAATGAAAAATTGAAAACAAATTTAAATTGAACTTTTTGATTATTTTTAATTCACTTTTTTAAGTTAAGGCCGTTTGAATCAGTTGAGAAACTGCAAGAATCTCAGGTCCTAAATTCTGATATATTTTTAAAGGCCCAGGAAATTAAATTGGTGTTCTGTTTCTCAATAAATTGTTTGTCTTTTGGATGGAAAATCGAATCTTAACTGAAAACACATTTGACGACTGTAAGCATTTTTGTGGCGGTCAAATTTAGGCGAAAATACCACCCTGAGCCATTGTTCCCTCCCACTTTTTTCGATTCTCCAACGCATTTATTGCACCTTTTGTAAGAAAAAGCTTTTCAAAATCTCGCTTGCACCAACAAAACTTTTATTAATTGAACACTGAAAATCAATTGGTTGAAATTTTTTTCGAATCAGTTTCGAAAAATTTTTTCAGAAAAAACCGTGCTCCATTCCGATCAATCGGCTCGTGCTTTTTTGTCGTTTTCAGTTGAAAGTCGTGGGTGTGGTGTTTGTAAATTGGTCATTTCCAATTGATCCGTCTACGCTCCGACGTTAGATCGCGTATCGAAAATTTGTAGCTATGTTTCTGTTGGCTATCTATTATCATGATTCTGTCTTGCTGTGTTGCCTTTCGGATCTTAGATAACTTTCAGGTTGTTTTATGGTGCCTGCCTTAGATTGCAGCGTTTTTTACCGAAGAAATGTTTAATTTAATTTAATTTGTAATTTTTTCAGGTGTTCATGTACATAGACTGACTAAAGTAGCGGACCATATATGGGACCAAATTATCCAATTCAGTGCCTTTTTATGTTCTATCCTCACAAATTAGGAACTTTATTTCCAATCTACTGTAGAACTTTATGCTTGTAGTACCTGCTTGTTTTATACCATCTTTCGTCTTTTTTTACCGAGCGAGACAACATTTGTATACGTATTAACAGATGTAACAACAAACAGAAAAAGAATTTGGTCGAAAATTGTAATTGTTATCAAAAAATTCAGTACTAATACTAAAATGACTATTTTTTGCAAGGAAATTTCCTGATTCAATATTGAACTGTAAGAAGATGAAATGCTTAAAACAAAACTTTTTCCAGCTTCTTGTTTTTCTTATCATTATGCTAAATATATATTTTGTTTGTACATCTGCTAATTGATAGCGACTGTGTTCACACAGCATAATTCGTTCAACAATTCACACAAAGCATAATTTGTGTTGTAATACACGGGATGCGAGTTAAGTGTAATTTCGACCCAGAGTCGGTCGACTTGGCGGAAATTCTGCAGTATGGATGCAAACCCCCCGATGCATCTGACATGTTCAAAGAGGGGGTGTTTAAAAAAAGTGGAGCACATAAGGGGGAGGGGAAGTCTTCCAGAAGTGACCAGATGCGATGTTTTAGGTAAGTAAAAAAGTGGTACAATCAAGGAATATCTTTAACAATCCCCCCCAAAAAAAACCTTGCAAAAAAGGGGAGATTCGTTACTAAGTACAAATGTTACTTACGCTTAATCCTTTAAATTTTTTTATTGAGGTGGAAATTCGGTACTTGGTATGGGGGGGGGGGGGGGGAGGGGAGTGGAAACGTTAAAGAGATCCCAGTCAATGATGTCGCTTTTGAAAACAGATCAAGTTATCTTAATTTTTATTCCAATTTAAATCTATTTAAAATCTGACAACTTCAAAGATGTTCGCTCTCGCATAAGTATCTTCTAAAATAACTAATATTGTCAATTGTTGCTCGCAATAATGTTTCAGCATCAAATAGCCTTTCGGGTCGCGGAAGAGCTCAGCTGAATTATTTTCCGATCACACATTTTGAAACAGTCTCTTCCAGCAAAATGGCTAAAAAGGACTAACTTTCTCTTCTTTGCCAGTTTTTGGCTTAAAGGCTTCAATGCTTGATTCAAGTTGTTTTTCTTTTTAAAACGCCATATCATTTATTGTCAAATTTACTTTTCCTGGCGTACCAACATTGTAATGACCTTGAACTCTTTTTGTTAATTGGAGGTCTAGTTCATACAATCTTTATAGGCAGTATAGATCATACACTAGACGATCTGGCATTGAGTGTTCCACGACAAGCTCATCGTCTACATATCATGGAAATTGATCGAGTCTTATCGTCCAGGTTGTTTTAAAAAACCGGCTGAGTCATTGCCTCAGAATCAAGTCTACATGGAGACTAGAGATGTTAATTTTCATTGGATCTAGTTTTTTTAAATTTTGAACTAGATTATTAACTTATTAGGTGAACTCAAGAAAGAAAATGTTCTTTTTTATCAATAAATCTAATTTAAAATTCTTACAATACTAGATAATCTTAAAATCCACCTATACTAAGCATGGTTATTATCTAAAGACGGTTTGAAGTCGGGCAGTCAGTGTCTGCTGAACTTTGTTGACGGCCCCCAAACATTTTGATTTTCTGGTAGTTTTTTTCTTTTGAGAATCTAGCTCTAATTATGGCAGTTTAAATACTGCGTTTGGTAATTAAGTTAGTTAGAATTTGCAAACTAACTTATCCAAAGGGTTTCATAAACTAGAACCAAAGTAATGGATAGGCTCACTTTTTGGTCGGTATTCGTCCATGCTAAGACTGTTTTCTGAATGGGTTGTTTCATTTTGATATAAGAAATTATCTGTGTGCTGCTTTTTTCATCAATTATTCAGTTAAACAACTCAGCGAGCAGTGAAGCAAAAAACTGAAGCAAATCTGAAGTGAGACCATTAGATCCAGGCGGTCAATTTTAATTTGTTTTACTTATAGGTTGCTTCGTTTCCCCTTCACTTACTGGCGAACCATCGCACATTTTGGTATTTTTTCAAATCTTTTTGAATTGTACAGATTGAAAACATCCAAAAATTTACTCTAGGTGCGTAAGTTATCTACCTTGAAGTTTTCTCAGATAAATATTGGATTAAAGTTTTTGTTAAAAATGTCATCAGTATGAGTGGAAATATCGCCTGATTAATCTTGAAATTAAGCACGTCTAAGTAGCCGTAATTGAGGTTCAAGTAATTTTTACGAAAAGACCTAAGTTTCGTCCTCAAAGCTTCCTTCCCAGAGAGAAGAGAGTCAGTCAACCTTACTACAGGCCAACTTTGGATGTCTGGTTGTCTCTGAAATGGTTGGTTCATTAGCAATATGCGCACTAATTCACTAATTCGGGTCGTTATCTTGGATCGATTGTCTGTGATCTCTAATGCATTCCAACCAATCAAGAATTGTTGAAAGGGTTTGGTATCGTCCCTGTTAGAGACAACTTTCCTCGAAAAGCCCCTGCTGCGTTTTTACCCGCTCTGGAGGTTTTTATGGCTTCTAACCGCGCCATATTTCAATATCCAGGATGCATTAAATCTCGAAAGTATGAAAAACGTGCATGTTTGCCTTATGATTTCTATTATCCGTGTATAATGTTGTCAAGGACGCTATTTGGTCATTTTTGAAAGCTATGAATATCTTCTAGACGGTATTGGGGTTGCAATTTTTAGTCAAATTGGGTAAAGTAGATTGTATTTCAGACGTTAAAAAGGTTAAAACATCCAAGTGTCTTGAAAATGTTTCAAACAAAGTTGTTTCTTTGTTTTCGCCAGACACTACAAAGTAGGTCAAGATTAAATAATTCAGTAGTTCAATCTGTTGACTTATGCCACATCAGCTACCGTCTTGTTGATTTTTGGTGTCTTCTCTTGTGTGCAGCATTATATTCAAGGCACATGCACATTTAATGGAAAGTCGAGTCACTTCAAAGGCTGGTTGGTGAGAGCCTTGAAAGATCGCTGTCTCCAATCTGGTTCAGCGCTCTCGTTCGTGTAGCTCACTGATAACGAAGCCTTCCTATTGAAAAAGAGCCCCTGTACCCATCTCTCGCCCTAACGCGCAATCGTGTGACGCTGAGGATTGCTGTTTCAGGAAGCTGTCTAGCCTAGATGACTGCCTGGTAATCACAGTTTTGTAAATTGGTTCGTTCTCAGCATAGCAATTTTTAGGGAGCCAGTGGGGCCATATCTCAGAAAATGATCACCGGTTGGGAGTACTGTTTTCTCAATAAGCTCCGGTCCTTCTGTTTTCATATGAGATAGGTCGTTCTCTACTTCTATTAGAGCAAAAGGTTTTCGTATCTAGATCCGCTCTGGATGTTGAGAATGGAAAGGACAACTTGTCGTTGGTATGACGTTAAGAGGCCGCTTTGAATGTGTCATTGTTCTTTAAAAGATTCTTCGTGCACGGTTGTTTGATGGTAATGTTATTTTTGCTGAAGTTAAGCAATCCCCTCAGCGATAATTTCAGAGAATGCGGTTTTTGAACCATATTCATGTAGATTTTCAAATCGAATGTTGAAGCGATTCTAACTCCCAAATATTTTTTAAAAAAATCGGATAGAGTAACGAGTTTCTGTAATCAACAAAATTTTTCCAGAAGAAATTGATTGTAATATGGCATGTATTAACATATATGCTACATAACGTGATTGCGCAGCTAGCTTAATGCGGTTGATCAATCAAGGCATCCGCTGCACGTTGGTGTTGATCAGAAAAAAAAAGATTCAATAAATATCATTAAGTTGCTTGAGTTTTCAAAGTTTTGTTGGAAATGCATGATTTATAACGTGAGGTTGAGGTTTTTTTATATAGTATAGCAGCAGAAGTTTACTCATTCCGGAGGGTGAGTCTTTTTAAAGTTTTTTACTTAGACAGGTACTCGTCAGGTTATAAAAGCAAATGGATTAACTCAAATAACTACGACCGTACCATTTTGAATGCACCGCTTCTATTCTTATCAGCGAAGTTAAAGAACATTGAACCTGATTAGTACCAGGTGTTGTAGGCTTTTGTTTTTAGCAAAAGTATGACTTGAACTCTTATAGGCGAAGATTTTTTGCTTTTGAGAGTTTGTTGATCTTACAAAGCAAAGCATGACATTGTGTAGTCAAAAAGATCATAATTTTCTTGGAGCCTGATTCGACATGTTGTTTTTTTGTTTGTTGCTTGGAGGGTGTGAGCGTCTCCGCATCGGGGCTGTTGTGAGATTTTGCTGACCTTTGGTGGCGGAATGCCCCACTCCTTTTGAGGCTGCTGCGTGCTTTCATAACGTGCTAATCTATCCGGATTTTACAGCTTGCAATCATTTCAGTGGTGTTGAATAAAGCCATATTAGCTGTTATCTCGATGACTTCAATTGGTTTTTCGGACCTGTTTCGGCACCTATCGTCGTCAAGTTTTATGCATGACTTTTCTCGGCACCACAGAACTGCAGTAGTTATTAGCTTCTTGTTATCATGGAGGCTCTTTTTTCATAACCGTGAAAGCTTTCGAGATCGTAATTATGCTCGGATATCCCGGCTTGCATGATTAAAATGTCAGCACTTGACTGTTAGGTGGTCGCCTCGAAGTTAGCGTCGCACTTGAAGTGATCCACAGTGAATGGAGATATATTGTGATCTTCAGAAAAGAGTTGATTTTTGTGTGAGGTCTGGCAATGCCATCAGAGAAAATTTCAAAGAACAAAGCAGACTGACTAGCAGCCATAACTGAGAATTAGGACGAAGATTCTTCTATTAAATTTCAAGAAAAAATTTTGTTGTAGTGAACGAGTATCACAATGTATCACAACAATAAGACTAAAAGCAGATAACACTATCCCGGCTTATATTTTATCGTATGCTATTTGCATGTGTGTGCGGCTCACCGTAGCCAATCACTCAAGATATCCTGTGCATGCTCCGTGTGTTTTGAGGAGACAATTTGGCCATAAAAACTATTGTGCCGAAAATTCCAATAAATGTCAATTTTCAAAACTTTTTGAAATTCATAACTTACTGTGAATGTGCGGCTATCATGCGATAGAGGGTCATCCAAGACTTCATGTTCATGCTCCGTGGGTTTTCATGTACATGCTGAATTTTCCATTTATTGTGAAAAAACAAAATCAAATTTCCTGTGAAATTTTGTTTGCGAGGTTGGATTGAAAAATCCATTTTTAGCGTTTCAAAATGGTCTTATCATTCTATCTTAGTACATATATAAGTACATATAAGTCATGAAGTATTTTCCCCCCATGTTTTGGCTTGTTAAAGTCACGCCCGATGCAAGTAAGTTTGAGGTTGTTCCTATAACCTCTAGTGCTTACTAAATACATGCAGGTCATTATATTTTAAGCTTCCTAAGTAGTTCGCATTGGAAATTATTATTTTCCGTTTAGCCGTAATTGTGATGTTTTTCAAGGATAAATCTACCAGTAAGTCATATGCTTTTTTAATCACAAACAACAGACTAAACAAGTCTCCGCCGCTGTCCAGCCAAGCAAATAGCTAGACTAAAAAGTCTGAGAAGACCCTGCTGAGGAGATTGATATATCTCTAGCTACAAACGCTGCAGGATTTCAAATGTTTAAAGGTC